TTACTCAAACTCACGTCCATTGAATCGGTGATGCCATCTAACCATCTCATCCTGTGTCGTCCCCTTCTCCTCCTGCCCTCAATTTTCCCCAGCATCAGGGTCTTTTCAAGTGAGTCAGTTCTTCGCAATAGGTGGCCAAAGTATTGGAGTTTCCAGCTTCAACATCAGTCCTTCCAGTGAGTATTCAGGACTGATTTATTTAGGATGGACTGGTTGGATGTCCTTGCAGTCCAAGGAACTCTCAAGAGTCTTCTCCAACACCACAGTTCAAAGGCATCAATTCTTCGGTGCTCAGCTTTCTTTATCTCAAGTTAATGATTTTAGTGTTTTTCTGTGTATGGGAAGATGCAGAATCTGGGGTCATTGAAATTCTTCCCAGGTAAGCTTCTAACTATCTATGGAGCTAGTGCATCGAAAACACAGAGTGCCTTACCCTCTTTTTTTCTTTTTCATCCTAAGTTGCTCTAGGGTGCCTGTCAGTCAGCAGCTGCACTGACTGCCCACTTCACCACTGTGCACCTGGGTGGCGGGCAACACCCTTTGTTCTTCTTTGTTCATCCCCAGAAGCAGCCGTTTCTCCAGGGAGCCCTGGTTCCTTTTACTGGAGAGAGGTGATCGAAACCAAGGTTGGGGTGCTGGGTATACTGGTTGCCAGCGCTTGTCATTTCTTTTAGACCATCTCTGATGGCAGATCAAGGAAATACATATAGGTACTCTAACCCATGTGTGGAGCTTCCCTCGTAGCTCAGGTGGTAAAATCATCTGCTTGCAATGTGGGAGACCCGGGTTCCATCCCTGGGTGGGGAAGATCCTCTGGAGAAGGAAATGGCAACCCACTCCAATACTCTTGCTTGGAAAATCCCATGGATGGAGGAGCCTGGTGGGCTACAGTCCATGGGGTTGCAAAGAGTCGGACACGACTGAGCGGCTTCACTTTAGTAATTCTCCAACCCATGTATATGTACATATGTATAAATATTTCTATCTGTATCTATGTTGGGTTAAACATGAGTTCTTATGTCTCCAACTCTAATTCAGTATAACTTTAATTTTTTAAGTAATTAAAAAAAATTTTTTTTTTAAAAATTTATGGCAATTTTATCCTGTCCCATAATAGATACCCTCTTCTGTTATTCAGTCTTGCTTGTTTAGCTATATTAGGTGGGTTCATTGTTCTCTCCCAGTTGTTTCCTGTAAGGACTTTTCCATTCCTGTGTCATCTTCATTCTTCTATGGACTGTATAGCTTTTTTATACTCAAGTTGCTGCCTCCTCCTTCCCCAGTGTTTTAAATAAAATTAAAAAAAAAATAAAAAATAAAAATTTAAGTTCTATCAGTGAGATATTCAAAAATATTACCATTCACCTTTCATCCTCATAATATTTCTTTTATTTCTACATTTATTTATTTATTTTTTGGCCATGAGGCACGAGAGATCTTAGTTTCCTGACTAGGGGTCGAATCCACACCCCTTAGAGTGGAAGTGTGGAGTCTTATAAACCACTGGGCCATCAGGAAGTTCCCTCATAGTTTCTGATTTTGAATGGATAATAGGGGCAAAAGAGTGAAGGATAACTCTGAGATGATGATTAAAATATTTTGTTTTCAGTTTTATATGTTTGCTCTGCTTCCAGATGACATTTAAAAAAAAATTTATATATTAAGTTTGGTCCCTTCTCAGATTAGAATGTCAATGGTATTTTTTTTTCTTTGTTAATTTGATTTTTTCTGTTTAGTTCATTGGGGTTTGAAAAAGACAAATTCAGTGATTCTGTGTTAATTTGCCATCTTTTCCCTTCACCAGCACACTTTTTCCTGAAAGCCTTCCTACTCTGGTTTACTGCTTCCTCAAATTTACTATTTTCATTTCAGTACTATTGTGTCATCTAATTATTAATCTTAGCTGTTATCTAGTACAACTCTCAGTTTTTAAAGAACTTAATCAGCTGTCATTTTCATTGGAAACTGACAAATTGATTTTTTTATACTAATCTGAAACAGAAAGGAGACCACTTGGATTTGCCAGGCTTTTCCAATAAACTGTTTTTGTTCCTAAGCATCTTTGTGGGGATTAATTGTATTATTTTTATATAGCTTTTTGGTGAAGAAAAATGTGTATTAAAGTTGTTTTGTTGGTTAGTGAGCAGTGAAATATAAATCAAACTGTATATTTCCAGAGCAAAACTAACTTCTCTTCAAATAAACAGTTGTAGATAAGTTTTGTTATTGCTGAAATCCCATTCATTTTTTAGTAACAAAGAGTTTTAACATTCCAGTGAAATATATACCCTGACTTTAGTGAAATTAATTTTGAAAGATCTGAAGATAATCACTATACAAGCTAACTTTTTAAGCCAAGAAAGCTAGTAAGTTTATGTAGTGATCCATTTGGACTGTGGACAGTGGGGAGATGATACAATATTATAAGAGCCTGCCAACTCACTTATTTTGTAACACTTAAGTTATTTACTGTATTAAAGGTTTTAAAATGGGATCCTTTACAATATACTTTCCCAAACTCCACAGGAAAGGGAAATTGCTATGTTGTGTTCAGATCTTGTTAAAATGAAGTCTTATTACTGTAATTTACAGAAAGAGAGGTATACTGATTCAGAAATTTTTTTATCAAGTGCAAGATGCTTACTGTATGTGTTTTTGCAATGTAAATCAAGATGGAAGTTAGTAATTGATAGGGAGGTTTTGCTGATTTCTAAGTCATAGTGCCTGACATAAAGAAAAATAGTGCTATGTAATAGACCCTTATATTATTCCTGATATATTTTGAAGTGCTTTTAAATACATTTGACAGCAGGAGTGTATAACTGGTAATTAAAATTGAGAGTTTTGAGCCAGATTACTCAATTCAAATCCTTGTTTTATCATTTGGCAATGTGTAACCTTGGCCGTTACTTACACCCAGGTTCCTCATCTGTAAAGTGGAAACAACCATGTTCCTGTCTTGTGGAACTGTTGTAAGGATTGAATGAATTTATGCATGTAGAACTCTCAGAATCTGGCACAAGAATGTGCTGAATAAGTAATAGTTATGATTTGTTATTTTGTTTACATCTCATTTTAAAAAGGCATATTGGTTTATTCATGTGCTTTCTTTGGGAGATTGTAGAACCTTTTATTTGCAGCTTATTGTGGAATTCTTTTCTTGAAACTAGATCCTATGAAGTTTGGGGGAGTTTACTACTTAATTCAAGGGATTTGTTTTCAAAGTTAATGAGAAAGCATTTGGTGATTTGGGGTGACTGCTAGGGCAAGGGGCTGGTCAGCTCTTGGTTTAGGAATGGAATAGCAGTAGTTAAGAGGTGAGACCCATGGACATGGTCTCTTCTCTTCAGTCAGTGAGGATGACTCATTAGGAAAAACTCATAGTATTTTGTCTGTTTTTGTAAGACTTTCCTTCTCTTTTGAAGATGCTTATTGTTATCCTCTGATAATAGGATATCCAGGTAATAGGGTATCCAGCTGCCAGGCAGGTAATAGGGTGTCTTGTATATAAAATATGAAAGTCCTGCCTCTGATATACTTGGATCCCTACTTCTTTTCATCTTTATTCTGTCTCAACAACTCACCACCACCCTAAGCTCCCCAAACTCACATGAAACTGGGCTGTCATTTCAGATGAGAACCGAGGGCCAGACTTAATTTAAAAGCATCCATTTCCACAAACGAAGGGAATAATAGGGGGAAAAAAAGAGACACGAAAATCTGAAAAGTATTTCAAATTATAAGATGACTTAGTACTAAAATATGTACATAAACTTCTATGTTTAAAATGCTGTGTAGGGTAATATTTTTGCAGAGTTGATAGAAGCCAGTTTTTGTTTGTTTTTAATTGACTTTGTTTTATTCACACCAACAACTGGTATTAGAGTAGGCTGTAGAATAGAAAGTTTCTTTGTAACAATGATTTTATTGAAACAAAATTCTGTCTCTCATGCTTATATGCTTTTTGCATAGATCTTACCATTATGGTTTGTAAAAATAGTCTCACCTTCTTTTTCATCCTGTTTTCTGAGTAGTAGCATGAATTCCCAGAATAGTTAGCACACTTAATTCAAAAAGACAATATTTGTCTTTTCTGTGGTTGCAGTGACATAAAACACTGACGCATTATGGATAAAGATATTATGGACAATTAATTCCTAGAAAAAATTACTTTATTTCTTTTAAAGCTTTTTGTAAGAATAGAGTCATAGATATGATTGGTATCTGTTTTAATAACTAACCTAGATATAGTTCCATATTCTATTCCACTTTGGCAAACTTCTTTTAAATATGTTGTAAAACTTTTATTTACGTAAGTTCTCTCATCTATCAAATGTAAGAATGGCTGTTAGAGAAAATTTTATTGGTTAATTAAGCTAGTGTGTAGTCAGTGTGCATTCATTTTACTTTTTCTGCATTGGTTAGTTAGACAAGAATTCCAGGGTGTCTGTATTAGTCTAGAATGTTACCCACAGTTTCTCACCAGGGAAATGTGTGAATTTCACTCAATTAATGAAAAGTTTTTAATGTCTTTGTGACTCATGACAAATTGCTGAAAATTGGGGCTTTCTAATGAGTCAAGTTATATAGGTAGTGTGTAAGAAGTCAATATATTGCTCTAAGGTACATTTTAATAAGTGTTTAGACACATTTGACTTAAATGCACTTTGTGTATTTTAACTCTCTTATGTGATTTGTAATATTTAGATCTATTTGCCCCATGAGGTTAAGTAGAAGTAAGGCATTTAACAATCAATGAATTGCTTCTGGGTAGAACAGAACAAACAGATTTGGCTGTAGTGAAGGTTATAAAATAACATCGTAGAAGAAAATGTTGACTGGTAAAGTTAAGAAAAATTGTGAGATTTTATAAAATCGAAATTGAGAGACTCTACCCTTGTTTGACAAATCCTGCTTTTTTTTTTTTTTTTTTTTGGTTTAGGCTTAAAGCCATGGCACTGTCTCCCAGACCTACCTTAATTGCGTTTCCTATTACCCAACTATTACGTCTGATTTAGGATCTGTTCTCTTTACTGCAGTTCCTTTGTGCAGAGTGGGGTTGAAAATGTGAATTGAGTGCTGCTGCTTCTTTTTTTTTTCCTGTTTCTTTTATTTTGTAATTATTTAACTTCTAACTTCATAGTTATTACCTTTTTTTCCCCTCCTAGACTCAGGGAGTTGGAGTAGTCTCTTTGAGAAGCCCCCTCCCTTTATTGTTTTTTTCCTGATGCCTGTATTATATACATTGCTTTGTAAGTGTGGGTATTGGGAGATACCATTTTCCATGTGTCTCATTTTACAAATCAGCTTCCTGCTCGAATGTAAGCTGACTGGAAACGGGCTTTGACAAAATCTTGATCACTTTGTTTTCCCAGCACCTGGTAGAATGCTTAACACATAGTAGGCTCCTCAGGATACCTGTTGAATGAAAGAAAGGAAATGAGATCCCAGAGAGGCTAAGTGAACATATGTGCAGAGTGTATATTATAACACATACTATCAAATTAATATCCCTTATAAAAGTGCTCCAGAAGGCTTTAGAAAGATATTATATGTGATATTCATGCAGTAGTAAATCATTATTCATATTTTAAAAGAATCTATTACTAGATAACATACCTTGTTTCTAGGTAGGGATGCTTTATATTGTATATAATAAAACACCTAATCAGCAGTGGCTTAAACTAATGAGGATTTATTTTTCTTACCTGAGGAGAAGTTTGGAGGCAGGTATCTTGCTGACATTGGCTGAGCTGCTCAACAGTGTCAGGTCTGTTCTGTAATTTTCTTGGCCTTTCCTTCATGGTTGCAAGATGGTTGCTCCTGCTCTAGGTATCACCTTTCTGTGTGGGGTGTCAAGAAAAGGGTATGGATTGACAGAAGTATCTGTCAGGAAGCCAAAAGCCTTTGTGAGACATCTCTCTTCATTTCACCAGGAAACCAGAAGCTGTCTTGGAAACCGTGTAGCACAGCTGACTTTGCCCTAAGTGTTATTGCCAAAACTGTTTCAAGTGGTCTCTCCTAACTGAAAGGAAGGCTGAAAAAGCTTTTCTAGCCTTTGGTAAAGGGGGAGGAAGGGAGAAAGTTTGGAAAGAGATATTGAGTTTGTTAACTGTTGTTTTTGCATGGTCCCTAAGTCATGTCTGACTCTTCGTGATTCTTTGGACAGTAGCCCACCAGTCTCCTCTGTCCATGGGATTTCCCAGGCAAAAATTCTGGCGTGGGTTGTCATTTCCTTCTCCAGGGGATCTTCCAACCCAAGGATTGAACCCACATCTCCTGTATTTGCAGGTAGATTCTTTACCACTGAGCCACCAGGAAGCCCCTTATTAACCATCAGTTCACTTCAGTCCCTCAGTCATGTCCAACTCTTTGTGACCCCATGGACTGCAGCGTGTCAGGCTTCTCTGCCCATCATTAACTCCCGGAGCTTGCTCAAACTCATGCCCATCAAATCGGTGATACCATCCAACCATCTCATCCTGTGTTGTCCCCTATTCCTCCTGCCTTCAATCTTTGCCCGGTATCAGGGTCATTTCCAGTGAGTCAGTTCTTCGCATCAGGTGGCCAAAGTACTGAAGTTTCAGCTTCAGCATCAGTCCTTCCAAAGACTATTCAGGACTGATCTCATTTAGGATGGACTGGTTGGATCTCCTTGCAGTCCAAGGGATTCTCAAGAGTCTTCTCCCACACCACAGTTCAAAAGCATGATTTCTTTGGCGCTCAGCTTTCTTTATGGTCCAGCTCTCACATCCATACATGACTACTGGAAAAACCAAAGCTTTGACTAGACGGACCTTTGTTGGCAAAGTAATGTCTCTGCTTTTTAATATGCTGTCCAGGTTGGTCATAGCTTTTCTTCCAAGGAGCAAGTGTCTTTTAATTTCATGGCTACAGTCACCATCTGCAGTGATTTTGGAGCCCCCCAAAATAGACTGTCACTGTTTTCACTGTGCCCATCTATTTGCCATGAAGTGATAGGACCAGATGCCATGATCTTTGTTTTCCGAATGTTGAGTTTTAAACCAACTTTTTCGCTCTCCTCTTTCACTTTCAAGAAGCTCTTTAGTTCTTCTTTGCTTTCTGCCATAAGGGTGGTGTCATCTGTGTATATGAGGTTATTGATATTTCTCCCGGCAATCTTGATTCCAGCTTGTGCTTCATCCATAGTATTTGCAAAGTATATCACTTTGGCTCGCCAGAATCAAAATGCCTCCTTCTCACGACTGCAGTCACCACCTCTCTGGGGAGATGACATACATCTACCTTATAGACCAGGATGTCTGCTTGATATGTAGTTTTCTCCATCAGCTCTGGCTATAGCCTATTGTCTTCTGGTGACCTAAAGCTAAAGGAGAAAATCTGCATCCTAGTACACTACAGTGGATTAAGGAACAAGATAATAAATCCTCCCACTTAGGAAAGCGGGGAATTAGAAACTCACTGGTCCACAAACACAGCATACTCTGGAGGATATGAATATCAAAGATTTCTGTTCTGGCAGTGAATTTAACTTCCTGAGTTAATCTATCAGCTGCCCCACTTTATGTTTCCTGGGAGAATCTCTGTCATAAAGGTCTTGTTTCCTGTAGCTGTCAGGAAGACTGACTCCTCCCCGTCTTCTCTTCCTTTGCAGAATTGTTTGTGCTATTTTAGGGACTTTCTCTTTTCATTTAAATTTGGGAGTAAGTTTATTTCTACCAAAAATCTTACTGGGGTTTGATGGGAATTATATTAAACTTATAGATCAATTTGGGGAGTATTGACATCTTTACTATGTTGAGTCTTCTAATCCATGAACATGGTAAGTCTCTCTATTTTAATTTATTTCAATGAAATTTTATAATTTTCAGCATACAGATCTGGTACATATTTTTCTTTTCTTAGATTTATACCTATTTCATTTTTGTTGAAGCACTTTTAAGTGTTATTCTTTTTGTTGACTTTTTTTTTCACTTGTTAGTTGCTAGAATATACATGTGCACTTGCTTTTTGTTTGTTGATTTTATATTCTGCGACCTTACAGAACTCGATTATTAACAGTTTCTTTTGTAAATTTCTTGGGATGTTCTATATTGATAATCATATTATCTGCAAAAACAGAAGGCTTCCTTTCCAATTTGTTTGCATTTCACTTTTTTTTCCCTTCATTGTGCTGTCTGGACCACCTTGTATTTTGTTGGGTTTGAGAGGTGAGATGGGGCAGTTGCCTGGATTTTTTATCTTAGGGGGAAAGCATTGTCTTTCACCATTAAGTGATGTGAGCTGTAGAAGTTTGGTAGATATTCATTATCTATTTGAGGAAAATACTTTCTTTTCCTAGTTTTCTGAGTGTTTTTATCAGGAAAGGGTGTGGATGAATTATAGATACCTAAAAATGCTGTGAGGGAAACTGAATTATTTTTTACTTGGAAGAATGTTACTGCATGAATAGCAGAATGATAAAGTCTCTTACCTAATACATATAGTACTTAATACACCAAAGACATAAGGATCTGGCTCTGAAGCAACTTCACTTATTTCTCCATATTTACAAAAAGATTTATGAATATAATTACATGTGAATATTTTTCTCTCTAGCTTTTAAAATAGATATTCCCTTAATAAAGAGATTTACAAAAAACCTACTTTGTTAGTATATTCGTTGGTCCTGCCAGACATTGTTCCCATAAAAATGATGCCTGTTTTCCTGTAAGAGGAAAAATGCTTCTTTTGGATAGTCATGTCCCATGATTTTTAGTGCCTTTCATTCTCTTGCAATTTTTTTCATGGCAGTCTTGTGTGAATTCCAGTTGAGCTATTTCAAATTCTGAAAGATGACGCTGTGAAAGTGCTACACTCAATATGCTAGCAAACATGGAAAACTCAGCAGTGGCCACAGGACTGGAAAAGGTCAGTTTTCATTCCAGTCCCAAAGAAAGGCAATGCCAAAGAATGCTCACACTACCGGACAATTGCACTGATCTCACACGCTAGTAAAGTAATGCTTAAAATTCTCCAAGCCAGGCTTCAGCAATACGTGAACCGTGAACTTCCAGATGTTCAAGCTGGTTTTACAAAAGGCAGAGGAATAAGAGATCAAATTGCCAACATCTGCTGGATCATCGAAAAAGCAAGAGAGTTCCAGAAAAACATCTATTTCTGCTTTATTGACTATGCCAAAGCCTTTAACTGTATGGATCACAATAAACTGTGAAATTAAAAGACGCTTACTCCTTGGAAGGAAAGTTATGACCAACCTAGACAGCTTTAAAAGCAGAGTCATTACTTTGCCAACAGAGGTCCGTCTAGTCAAGGCTATGGTTTTTTCCAATGGTCATGTATGGGTGTGAGAGTTGGACTGAAGAAAGCTGAGCGCCGAAAAATTGATGCTTTTGAACTATGGTATTGGGGAAGACTCTTGAGAGTCCCTTGGACTGCAAGGAGATCCAACCAGTCCATCCTAACGAAGATCAGTCCTGGGTGTTCAGTGGAAGGACCGATGTTGAAGTTGAAACTCCAATACTTTGGCCACCTGATGTGAAGACTCATTGGAAAAGACCTGATGCTGGGAAAGATTGAGGGCAGGAGGAGAAGGGGGTGACAGAGGATGAGATGGTTGGATGGCATCGTCGACTCAGTGGACGTGAGTTTGGGTAAACTTCAGGAATTGGTGATGCCAGGGAGGTCTGGCGTGCTGTGGTTCATGGGGTCGCAAAGAGTTGGACACGACTGAGCGGCTAGGCTGAGCTGAGCTTGTGTTTATGTTGTGGAACAGTCTGTTTTCTCTAGTTACTTCATTTCAAAAATAAAAAATAATGTTTGTAGAAAAGTTGTAGCAGCACTGTAGAAAATTCTTTTCTTTTTCTATGCCATTTGATAGTAAGCTTGATGCCTTGTCACTCCCAAATACTGAGTGTCTGTTTCCTGTAAAGTTATTGTCCAAGAAAAGTCAAAATACCGCCATCTAAAACAGGGAATTGACTCTTAGGCCTCACCCTCACCTCCTCCTTGACCCTCACACAGGTTATCCCCATAATGTCCTTTATAGCAGGAGGATCTGCTTTGGAATTTTGTTTGTTTTATTTTTTAAAAATCTATTATTAAGTGAAGGATAATTGCTTTACAATATTGTGTCATCTTCTGCCATACAGCAGTTGAGTCAGTTGTAAGTATACATGTGTCCCCGCCTCCCCCTCCCCACCCCATCCCACCCTTCCAGGCTGTCACTGAGCACCGCGTGGAACTCCCGGTGTGTTACACAGCACCTTCTCATTAGCTGTTTTACATACAGCGAGGTATGTGTTTAAAGGCTACTCTCTCTGCTCATCCCACCCTCTCCTTCCCCTGCTCTGTCCAAAGTCTTCCAAAGTCTGTTCTCTGTGTCTCTGTTCCTGCCCTGCAGTTCGGTTCATCAGTACTAGCTTTCTAGATTCCATGTATATACATCTGTTAATGTATTTGTTTTTGTGTTTCTGACTTACTTCACTCTCTATAACAGGCTTTAGGTTTATTCACTTCATTGGAACTGACTCAAATTCATTCCTCTTTATGGCTGAGTTATATTCTATTGTATATATGTATCACAGTTGCTTTGTCCATTCATCTGTCTGTGGACACCTGGATTGCTTCCTTGTCCTAGCTATTGTAAACAGTACTTGTGTGAACCTTGGGGTACATGTGTCTTTTTCAATTACGATTTTCTTATAGCACATGCCCAGTAGTGGGATTGCTGGGTCATACAGTGATTTTAGTCCTAGTTTTTTAAGGAATTTCCGTACTGTTCTCCTTAGTGGTTGTATCAATTTACATTCCCACCAACAGCACAAGAGAGTTTCCTTTTCTCTACACGCTTTCCAGCATATATTATTTGTAGAGTTTTTGATGATGGCCGTTCTGAGCAGTATGAGATGATATCTCATTATAGTTTTGATTTGCATTTCTCTAATGATGAGCGATACTGAGCGTGTGTTCATGTGTTTGTTGGCCATCTGTATGTCTTCTTTGGAGAAATGTCTGTGTAAGTCTTCTGCTCAGTTTTTAATTTTTTTATTTTTTTCCTCTTGGTATTGAGCTCCATGAGCTGCTTGTATATTTTGGATATTAATCCTTTGTCAGTTTCATTTGAATCATTTTCTCCCATTCTGAAGATTGTCTTTTCATTTTGTTTATAGTTTCATTTGCTGTGCAAAAGCTTTTGAGTTTAATTAGGTCCCACTTATTTATTTTTTGTTTCCACTACTCTGTAAGAGGTGGGTCAAAGAGGATATTGCTGTAATTTATGTCAAACAGTGTTTGCCTATGTTTTCCTGTAAGTTTTATAGTTTCTAGCCTTACATTTATGTCTTTAATCCATTTTGAGTTTGTGTATATTGTTAGGAAGTGTTCTAATTTTGTTCTTTTACATATAGCTGTCCTGTTGTATTCCTATATACTAACAGTGAAAAATCAGAAAGAGAAATTAAGGAAATAATCCCATTCACCATTGCAAAAAGAAGAATAAAATACCTGGGAATAAACCTAAGGAGACAAAAGACCTGTTTACAGCAAACACTTATGAAAGAAATGAAAGACAGAAACAGATGGAGAGATATTCCACGCTGCTGGGTTGGAAGAAACTATACCACCCAAAGCAATCTGCAGATTTAGTGCAATTCCTATCAAATGACTAATGAAATTTTTCACAGAATTAGAATAAACAATTTCACAATTTTTATCAAAACACAAAAGATCCCAAATAGCCAAAGCAATCTTAAGAATAGTGGAGCTGGAGGCATCAACCTGCCTGACTTCAGACTGTACTACAAAGCTACAATAACCAAGACAGTATGGTACTGGCGCAGAAACAGAAGTATAGATCAATAGGATAAGATAGAAAGTGCAGAGATAAACCCACACACCTTTGGGCACCTTACCTTTGACAATGGAGGTAAGAACGTAACACAGAAGAGTTGGCCTTTTCAGTAAGTGGTGCTGGGAAAAGTGGAATCACATTTTGTATTGAGGCGTCGCATCTCCTTAAGACTCTCTTACTCTGGACCGATTTCTCTTTCCTTGCCCTTTTATTTTTGTCCTTTTTGAGGGGTACAGGCGGTTATTTGAATGATCATCCTGTGATTTGTGTTTGTCTGATGTTGCTCGTGAGTAGGTTCATGTTAGGCGTTTTTGGAAGGACTGTCTTGAGAATCGATCCTCTTAGTGTATCCTGTCAGGTGACACCTGACTTGGATTTGTCTCTATTGATGACGTTAACTTTGATCAGTTGATTAAGGTGACGTAGGGCTATTTTTTTCCCTGTTATAGTTAATAATGTATTTTGTGAGAAGGTTCTTTGAGCTATGTAAATTTCTTCTTAAAACTTTTCACCTCTCGTGAACTCCTGTACCCTCTACCTTGCTGCGTCCTACAGGGGTGGCCTCCTCAGCCCTCTTGTATCCTGGTGTCCTGCGAGCACACCCTCCTCACAGCTCACAAGGCCGTCCTCCTGTGTGCACAGTCACCTCACCCTGTTTATGCTCGGACAGCGGACAGCTGCCTCCTGTGGCAGCCTATGCACCTCCCAGACCAGGCTGCCCTCTGTGCACACGCCCCTCTTACTGTGCTCCAGCTCCGACACCCCGCTGGGCTGTCCCCCACGCCCCAGCTGGGATGCCCTTCTTGTTCTTCCTGGGCCCTGAGACCCTGCGCTGGGCTGTCCGCCTTAGTGGGTGTTACCGCTTTGCTCAGACTCTGGCACTTGGGGTCAGGCCGCACTCCTTTAGACTGTCCCTGCCGTCTTCCTTTCTTGGCTGCTGATACCCCATGCCAGTCACTCTCATCCTCCTGCTGATACCCCATGCCAGTCACTCTCATCCTCCTGCTGATACCCCATGCCAGTCACTCTCATCCTCCTGCTGATACCCCATGCCAGTCACTCTCATCCTCCTGCTTGTGCTCTGACACTCCCGTCCCTAGCCCCGCCCGCTCGCTTGGGCTCTGGTACCAGTTCATGGCCACCACCCACCTTCCCCAGTGCCCCCTTTGTTCAGCGCCCCTCATCGCCCTGTGGGAAATTGTATGGAAGGCAGGGAGGGTGAGGGGCGCCCAGGTTTCCTCTCGTTACTCTTATCCAGCCCCCACCTTGTTGCTTCTTCATCTCCTCTCTCTCCTTCGTAGCTCTTTTTTATGAGGAGTAGTTAGAGGTAATTTATAACATTCAAAGTGCTAAATTTACTTTCTTTGGAGAAAAGTAGATGACTGTAATCTGTGATTCAGTGTGCAGATCTTAGCTGTTTTAAGTATCATGAAAAAAATAATCTCCCTACATGGGCCTTAAGGCAACATCACTATTTCCCTCAAAAGGCAAAGCGATAGTTCAGAGCACAAGTGCTTCAGTTCACCTGTTAGAGAGACACATCCATCCTGGTCCTGCCTCCTGGCTTCCAGCTTAGGACGCTCGTCTCCATGTCATGACATCTTTCTATCCCTGTTTCCTCATCCACAACCTGGGGATCATAAATACTTACCTGAGCTGTTGGAGCTCCGATGAGATAATGTACTTGAAAGTGCTGTGCAGAGGGTAAAATGTCATGCAGATGTGGTTCTTCAGTTCTAATTTATTGCAGAGTCAAATGGGAATCTACAGGAAATGAAGTCAAGCATTTAAATTACACTTGTGATTTCTAGGCAAATTCCCTCTGATTCATAAGGCAGGAAAGAGGTCAGCATAGATTTTGCTTTTCGCTACCACTTTAAATCTATTGTTCTGTCACCGTTACTCAATCAGGCAAACACTCCTCTTTTGAAGTCCTGCCCACCCATTCTGCCTCTGTGACACATTTCCACCTCCTTGATGATTTTTACCCCTGGTGTACAGTAGTCCTGTTCACCACGTTGCCTGCTGTCATCCATAGTGACATCTGCATCATCGACCTTATGTGAGTTCTGTGTTTGACCTTATATGAGTTGTTTGTGGTGCAGTTGTGTTCTCATAGATCACTGGAGAGTATCTTTAAGTGAGTGTGTCTAATGCTGCAGTCACACGCTTTTCCTATGACCTGCTCCTCCCTACAGCTTCCATTTGTGTTACTGCTGTCACGCTCTGCATGCGCCTTCTAGGTTAGAAACTTTAAACCCTCTGTTGTTTCCTACTGTCTAATTGATCTTGGGTGGCCTGGGCCTGCAGTGGCTTGAAGCAGGGCTTTGGTTTCCTGCTGGAGATTGAGAGCACCAAATCCTAGCCACTAGACCAGTGTTCAGTGACAAGGCCTTGGCCCTTCGGCTTTGCAGAAAAATAACTCCCCGAAAGACGGAAGGTAGTGAAACAAGTAAAGTATTTATCAGGAGGAAAAAGAGTACAGTAAGTGTGGATAGAAACACAGGCAGACACAGAGTTGCTAGTTGCGCCCTTGTGGTAGTTTGATTTACTTGTATGGGGCATTTCTTCCAGGTTTCCTGTGGCCAGTCCTTTTGATTTGCCTGGTTCCGAGCCCACATTTGACATCTCAAGATACCTCACATGTGTGCACACGCATCTCAGCCAGGATCGATTCCATGCCAAAGAGGCTTTTGGGTAGAATATCAGTTAGCATCACTCCCGTTTTGACCTCTAAGGAGCCTTTGTGTGCTTGTGTGGTCAGGGAGGTCTCCTGACTTCAAGGATGAGGAATATGTGGTCTCTTATCTCCCATCTGGGCAGGACCCAGCCTCCTCCCTCAGCCGTCCTCCCATTCTCAGGTCCACAGGGAACGAATCTCCGGTCGCTCTACTCCTATCACATCATCATTCACTAAATTATTTTGTTTTTGCAGAAACCTCTTTCCCACCTGAGTCTTTCTCTTCCTGTAATTAACAGCCTATCTCTGACCCTTATTACCTAATCTCTGAGCTATCAAAATAGCCTTCTTCAAGGCCAGTGTCAGACCTTGACTTGCCAGGTCCCAGCCTGGGTATCTGTTGAATAACTGGATGAAGAGGAACCTTGGGGCCAAAGCCAGGTCTCAGAGGGGCCAGCCCTTGCAGATGCGTCAGTAGGGTGATATAGAACACGTCTCCAGAGACCTTAGTTGAGATCAGACTTGGGGAAGAAGCTCTGCCTTGTCAGGCTCAGACTCCTATCTGAAAGCCTCTAGAATTTAGGAAGAGCTCATCTTTAGAACATGAGCGGCATTATCTGGATGCAGCTCCAGTTAACATTTTGGTATGTTTCCTTCCAATCTATTTTTAATGCATAGTTTTTTTAAAAAAAACTTTTTATATAATTGTATGTATAAATTGCATAATGTCTATTAAATGGAAAACATTTTCCATGGTATTTTTGCAAGTGCAACTGAAAAAAATGATTGGTGCATAGTGTTCCATAGAATGAAAAGTTGCTGCTGTCTTTCTTCCTGGAAGAAATACTGGATTGTCTGTCAGAGCCTGACCCCAGCTTCTGTTGAAAGCAGTGTTTCTCTAGATTTAACTTTTGATTGCTGACAAAAGCTACTGTTTTTGCCTCCAAAGTTTGGTCTTGATGCAAATTCATTAACTGTCCTGACCTTTGCTACTTTGCTTATTTGTTCATCCACGTGTTTTCCCTTCCCCTCTCCTTTTCTCTCTCTCTCTTCCCGCCCCACCTTCACCTCTTTGCCTCTCACTCCCTCCTTCCTCTGCCACTCCCTTCCCCTCCTCCCTTCTTTCCATCCATCCATCCACAATAAGAGCATGTTCTCTTCTAAGTCCCGAGCTTGCCTCTGGGGATTTAAAGATGAATAGACAGTTGAGGGACCTCTACCAAGGGAGAGACACATTTATGAATCTTTGCCAGGTTGTGTCCCAGGCTCATTTGGGTGCACATGGGGAGCAGTGCCTTACTGTTTCTGAAGAGGGTAGAGAAGGCTTCCTGGGGCGGTGACTTGTACCTGAACTGTGAAAGGTGAGGAGGATTTTGCTAGGGCAGGTGGGTGGAAGAGGTATTTAGGCAGTAGGCAGAGAAATGAGAACAGTGGTGATGGTGTGGCTCTAGCTTATCTGTAGTACTTTGTTATTGTTATTTTTTAAAAGCAGTTTTATTGAGATAATGATTCTTCTACCATGCACCATTTAAAGTGTACTATATTAAGTAGTTCTGAGTGTATTTGGAGTTGTGCATTCATCACCAGTCAGTTAGAAACATTTTCACTGCCTGAAATAGAAATTCCTTCAGCGGTCACCCCTCAGTCCGCCTGCTTTCCCAGCCCTGGGTAACCAGTAGTCTCTTTTGACATTTCGTTTAAGTAGAATCATATGACATGTGCTCCCTTGTGACTGACCTCTTTCACTTTTCAGGTTTTCAGGGTCCATCCATGTTCTAACATGTGTTAGTACTTCATTTCTTTTTATTGCCTAATAATTCAATGTGGATATACCACATTTTATTTCTCTATTACCTGGTGGATATTTGGGTTTTTCCTACTTTTTGTCTATTATAGATAATGCTGCTGTGGACATTGATGTACATATTTTTGTGTGGACATTTATTTTTATTTCTCTGAGATCTGCACCCAAGAAAGGAATTTCTGGATCATATAATAGCTCTATACTTAACAATTTGAGGAATTTCCAGACTGTTTTCAAATTAGCTGTACAGTTTTCCATTCTGATCAGCAGTATATCATGGTTCTAATTTCTCTACATCCTCATCAAGGCTTGCACTTATTTTTATTATAGTCATCCTAGTAGATGAGAAGTAACTCCTTGTAATTTTGACTTGCATTTTCTTGATGACTATTGATGTTGACCATCTTTTCATGTGATGTTATTTGTATATCTTTGGATAAATGTCTTATTCAGAGCATTTGCCTATTTCTAAATCAGATTATTTGCCTTTTTATCATTGAATTATAGTGATTTTTTATTGTCTCAAGTGTTTTGAAGCAAAATTAATACTACTTTGCTTTTGACTTTTAAGTAGAAAATGATTCAATCAAAATTTTGAACTGCCTAAAAAGAAAGAATTTAAATCTGAAAAATAGATTTGGAGATGGGGGTATCAATACTAATTTAAAAAAAAAAAAAAATTCGTAGGTTCCACAAGTCAAATGCTATTAAGTGATCATACTTGTTTTTATCAAGCGTATTCTCCCTGTTTATATGCACTGCCTTGCCAGCTCAGCTTCTCAGTTGTGTATGACTTTGCAACTCCTTGAACTGTGGCCCGCTAGGCTCCCCTGTCCATGGGATTCTCCAGGCAAGAACACTGGAGTGGGCTGCCATGCCTTCCTCCTGGGGATCTTCCCGACCCAGGGATCGAACCTGCATCCTCCTGCATTGGCTTCTTTACTTCCACACCGCCTGGGAAGCCCCACTGATGTGCACGGGTGTCAGAGCATTACAGACTTCTCTCAGAGAGTCCCCAGCTACTGGGACAAATGGGCAACATTTTCTAGTAGTTCTTCTTGCCCAAATAGTCCTTTAAGGCAATTGTTTTTCTTCTCTTTATCTCAAGTTGGTCAAACACATTTGTAACTTCAGACAGTGATACTGTGATTTAGGGATATTATTTATGCATATCTGTCAGTCAGTTGAACAGCAATTATTGGATGCCTGCTTAGGTATATGGTTGACTCACTTTGTTTCTCTTCGGGGGTCATACTCAAAATATCTAACATTGGTGTTGTGTGGACATTAGCAAATCAAAATGGAGACTGACTCTAAAGTACTTCACTCACAGTTTCATTATTTTAGTCATAGATCCTTTGTATTATATTATTCTTTGAATTTTGAAATCTAGCGAACCTATGCCTAGTCCATAGCTTTTTTTTTGCTTTTTTTTTTTGATGTGGATCTTTCCTCCTTTGGTAGTTTCATGTATTTCTCTTTTGATTGCCAAATTGATAACTATTTTGGCCCAGTAAGTTTTCTGGGTGTTAAAATCAGAGATAACTCTTGTATTAGAGATAATAATATTCAGCAGATATCGTAAACTTTCCTTCAAGGAGATACTTCTGCATTCTAAAATTGGTCATGGAAGTGTACTATTCCAAACAGAGTTATCAGTTGCTAACCAGTTGAGGATTGTATATAATTTTGAGTGGAAACCAAATGTTTTGTGAATTTGCTCGTGAGTGGTTTCTTTAGGTCGTTAAGATTTATTCCTCAGCTGAATAGAACTCTCTTCAGTATACCACTTTAAAAATATTTGAATCAGGAAGAAAATTTTTCGTGGAATACATGACTATAAAGATATAATCGGACAGTTGGCTGCTCCGAAAAGCCATCTTTTCTTTGTCCCTGAGCCTAGCTCCCTGCGAACCGCGGCCATAGGTCTGTACACCTCCTCATCAGATGTGGACTCAGGGGACTGTACTGCCAGAGTCCGTGAACTGGGCTTTCTCTTCAGTCTGCTGCATCGGATATCCAGGGTGCCCCACCATGTCAGACACCGCTGTGGACACCAGCTCTGATATCACTGCCAAGGACCTAAAGGAGAAGAAGGAAGCTGTGGAGGAGATGAAACGTGGGAGAGGTGTACCCGCAATGGGAAAGCTAGTGAGGAAAGTGGGCTGCCAGTGAGGTAGAAGAAGGCCCGGAGGAAGTGGTGGAAGAGGAAGGAGGTGTTGGTGAGGACAAGGGTGAAATGAAGATGAGGAAACTGAGGCAGCTACTGGCAACAGGGCAGCTGAAGGAAAGAGGGATGATGATATTGACACAAGAAGAAGAAAACAGATGAGGATAACTAGACAACAAAAAAGAAATAAAGAGGAAAAAAAGGCCACCCTGAGCGATTCATTGT